GTGCATCGCTACTAGTAACAAGTGCCTTACTACTAGGAACAAGAAGCCATTAGAAACAATAATTGTTTCCTTTGCTCCTCGGGAACCGCCGAACGACGTGCGTCCGCGCGGTCGCCGAGTTGACGCTGCTGGCCTGGCGGGAGGAAAGCGTGAGCCCTGATGGCTTTCAACATGCAGGCGCCCAGACGTACGGTGTTTATTGGAACTGGAAGAGCGAAAAAGAGCTTCTATGCTAAGAACCTAGCAGGTTGGAGGCCATCGCTAGCAGGGTGGAGCTCATAACTAGTAGGAGCCTAACAAGAATGGTACATTGCATATTAAATGCTTTCGCAACTTGCTCTCTGAAAAAAAAAACCTTTTCATCTGCCCCAAATGTAGGAGTTTTCACACTTCAGAGCTTACCCTGTGGCTTCGCACCCGAGTCCTCGCACTGAGGCCAGTCCTCGCTCTATTGGTCGCTGGTGCCGCTCCCGATCCGAAACGGCCACGGCGAAGCCCAATGGGCTGCTCGGTGGATCGCTCGAAACGACGGGCTCCCGGTGGTTTCGGGATTCCAGGTTTTCTTTGGTTTGCGCAAGTGAATGAGAAGGATTAGATGATTAGGATGGACATACTTGAAAGCTTTTGTGAATTGGGAACAAGACTGATGTCATCTGTAGACAAAGTGTTCAAAGTGTCTGTGGGACATAGTGGGTCAACCAATCTCAACACCATTCAAAACCTCTGTCATTCCGACCAACTCACCAACAAAACCTCCTGCGGGTTTGGCGGGTTCTGACCTGATCCGCCCCATTCCGCCGGCTTGTGGGCGAATTCTGGCTCAAAGCTTGGCACCCGCGGTGCAACCAAATTTTGTCCGGCATCTCAGCTCGGTTGGAGGGCATCGCTCAGCTCGGTTGGAGCGCATCGCTAGTAGCTTGGAGGCCATTGCTATTTTTGTCCGGCATCTCAGCTCGGAGCAAGACGTTGGGATTTCTGAGGTGAAGGTCTGATCATTTGGGGCCACATGCCCAACCAAAAAGCCTAAGTATTCTCACCCCGATTGTTGATACAGTTGATGCTGTGCTTTCATTCTTTTTGCTCTCCGCTGCAGGAGTGCCAGATTCGGCTGTCCGCGGCTTGTTTATGCGCTCGAGGTTGTCTTTCTGGGCCCGGCAGAGGAGCGGGCGACACGGGAAGGGGAACCCACTGCCGTGGCTAGGTTGGACAAATGTGTTTCACGAGCTGAATACTGAAGCTACTTACTTGAGGCTACTGGCTACGGGGCTGATGATGAAAACGACTCTTCCAGCTTTATTTGACCGCACTTGGTCGGCAGGACCTCAACAGGAAGATAGAGCTTTGAGTCTTGGGATTGGCCGCTTCGGGTCGTCGTTTGTTTCTTATTCTGTTTTTCTGACTGAATGAGGCCTCTGGTAGGTGGCAACTGCTTTAGACTTTAGGCCACCCTTGGAAAAGCTGACAACTGTTGAATGTTACCAACCGGAGAAAACAATGATTGCAAGCACAACATTCTGAGCCATTCTCAGGGGTGTCCAGACGTGATTGCATGCATTCTGACCGATATCGAGCAATATTGCATCGCACGTTGACTTGAGACAGTAGAATCAATTTGACATTGCGCGTATGTGTTAAATCAATATGAGACCAAACAGCGCCACCTTTGGTGGTGCGATGGGTCACGCATGGGCAACGCAGCTTCATGGGTGCTTTGGGGTTGCCTGGTGATTCCAAGGACACTGCATGCCTCCGAGGGCTTAATAGCAAGGACTGAAGGGATCTAAAGGGATTTGCTTTTTGGGGACTACCGTCATAGGTCAGACATCTTGCACATCTTCAGTGTGCTTTCTACCATTTTCTCGAATGTCAGGAAGCTTTCTGAATGCATGACAATAGCCTTCCCTTGCTAACCTGCCCTTGAGCATGCCCCTTCTTTGGCCCTGACCCTTCCATCGTGTCTTTCGCGTGACGTCCAGGACATTCGAGTCGCTTTCAGTTCGTAGCCATGTCGATGGTCAACATTCCTTCCACAAACACCGACCCTCAGTACCGTGCGCCCGGCCTCCTTTGAGGTAGGTTGGAGGCCATCGCCATTAGGTTGGAGGCCATCGCTAGTAGGTTGGAGGCCATCGCTCTTAGGTTGCAGGCCATTGCTATTAGAAACAATGACAAAAGAACAGGAAGAAACGTCTGATATAGTTTGCGGGTGGCCGGGAGAAGAACGCCACGGCCAGGCTACAAGATGCCGCGCTTGCAGGCGAAAATTGAGGGTCGTGGCAATGGAAACTTGGCCCAATATTTGTGTGATTCTTCTAGTTGGGTTACACGGAACCTAGATGTTCAAAGCAGGTATCTTTGGATCCTTTGATTGATCACCCTTTTTGACCCAAGCTGAGAACCAGCTTGTGGCCAAAAAAAGAATCCGAGTCGAATGCGCCATCTTTGAGCTGAGGAATCAAGACGTGTATTGTGAACATGGGAGAGGCGAGTCCAGACATGCTAGACTTGGTGCTAGACTTGGTCATCGCTGGTTTCCAGTGTTTCTCCTTGGAAGTGTTTCGCACCACACATGGTAGCTTTGTGCTGGTGGAAAAAGGTAGAGTTCTTGACAATATGCCGAGATCCACGGAAGGCTTTCTTCGCATGTCGAGTCGAAGGTATGTTCTTCCAATTTGGCACATGTAACTTGCCTTCTCTCAAAGCCTTCCACCAGGTCCGCTAGTGTAGATTCTGTAGAGATCTGCAGAGCATGTTCAACCTGCTCTCTCTCGCTCCCTCCCTCGCTCCCTCCCTCCCTCCCTCCCTCCCCTCCCTCCCTCCCCCTGCACATGGCAATGGTCAGGTAGCGCGGGCCATCAAACGTCCGCCGTCCGAGCCTTAGGCATTTGTTGTTCTGTGCGAATGGGGGGGCTCTGGCTCATCAGGCTCTCCCATGTGCCATCACGTCAGAGTTGCTGTGCAAGTAGTGGGAGCAGCAGCAGCAGTCTATCTTGTTTGGGGCTTGCTCTACCTGCGCTCTCTTGGTCTACTTGTATTTAAATGCATCTTTGAGACACAAGTAATTACTAGCTAACATATGAGACATGTATGAGATATGCACGAAGTCTCTTGAGGCAGTACGTGACGAAGTTCTTCGGCAACGCCCGGCGTCCGAACTGAATCCGCCATCTCGGTTTGGTTCCGAAGAGGACGACGTCCTCCAGGTTGGGGTCTTTCTTGACAGCTTTTAAGTCTGAACGGATGGTGGGCTTTGGTCGGCTTGGGATCTTCCGGAGTGCCATGCGAACGAAATGGCTGAGGATCTTGGTGCCCAAGCGAACTACACCAACAAGGCGTCGGGTGTTGTGCGGCTCTGGTTCAGAGGTTTGCACGGTAAAGCACAACCATAGAGGCCAAGGCAAAATTCTCATTGACCCAGTGATGCTAAACAATCAGCAGCAGGAGAGCTAGAGGCTGGGTAGCTTGATGCTTAGCGTGAGGGTTTGGTTTCGCCACTTCCCTCAGCGGTCTTTTCGTCCCGTGTGGAAGCCACGCGCTTTCCAGGAAGGCGAAGGCGAACGTTCGATTGTCCGCGGAGCTCATCAGCAAGAGGCTATGAGCTGCTTCTAAAACTCAATTTGCCTAGTAGCAAAGGCCTCCCCAACCTAAGAGCGATGGCCTCCAACCTACTAGCAATGGCCTCCAAGCTCATTTTGCCTTGTGTCCTGAGTGGTTTCTCAGTGGTTTCTCAATTGCAGCATGATAAGTTCAAGTGCTTCAGAGAGAGTGGGAGGAACATCCTTGCTGCCTCTAATGTTTTATCCCGTTTCTTGAGGGCTTGGCTTTCCATGTGTTCCCTTGGCTTTCCCTTGGCTTTCCCTTGGCTTCACTGTGTTCCCTAAGAGAGCGAGAATGAGCAGGACTTGAGAGTTTCCCTGGACAAGTTCATTGAGAAGTACGTTCTTTGCGAGAACTGCTCCTCGTTCTTCTGTTTTGGGCGCAGGGCATCACTGCCCTGGGTGGTGGCTTTGGGCAGCGAAACGAGCAGACGGAGAGGCGAACAGTTCGCCTCTCTGCCCGACAGACCGGACACCCACAGACTGGACGGCCTGGTGGCCTCTCGAGTGAAATGGTTGTGGCATCAGGTTCCTTGTGGCCTGAGGCAAACTTCCTGAGATCGACATGTATGTCAAGAAGGGCATCATCCAGGTGCAGGGCTGCGAATGCATGGGATACATCTGACATCTCTCGGTTGTCGGAGGATCGTGTGGACATCTCTCACAGCCTCCATGCGCTTTCATCGCCTCCAAGCGCATTCTAGACAACAAGATCAATCCGTTTTGTTATTTTTTTGGGTCTAGGTGTTTGGTCATGCTGAGTCAGCGACCTTGGTCATGTTTGAAAAGCGGAACTGCAGGGCCGCTGCAATGCCTGTGGTTGGGCTGGTGAACTGGACAATGTCGACAAGATGCGGCCTCAGGGAGAAGAGGAGACGTAGGGGGGCAAATGCTTGGAGTAGGGATCCAACCGAAGTCTGTTCCAAACAAGGCTTCAAATGAGTCTCTGTGAACAACTGGGGAGTTGGGGAACATTTCTAGGACAAGACCGCTCGTGGAGTCATTCAGCTTTCTTTCTTTGGATTCCATTCCCCTTCTAAGGCTTGCTGCCTTTATCATCAAGAACCCGCCAGCGACTAAGAGACTGAGTGAGGAGAGGGAGGAGCTGGAGTGTTTCAGGACATTCGGAGAGATTTGCGAAACGATTCTCCAAACGAAACGATGCCGTTCAGGAAGAGTTCAATATCCAACCTAAGAGCTCGGCCGGGCTCAGGCCTGATGAGTCCGGACTCAGCCTGGGCATGACTGTGGAAGGGGCAGGCTCGGCCGAGCGGGGACAGGATGCAAAGCCATTCAATAGTCTTGTTGGAATGTGATGTTTTGACTGCACTAGTAGCTCCTGGCCTTACTATATACTAGGAACAAGAAGCTACTAGTAACAAATGGCATCGC